TTACAGACACAATCAATCGTAACAATAGAACAAATATTTACCGAATACTCAAACACACCACTTGTATAACTAATTTGCTAAATTAACGCAAATAAAGAAATTACCGGCAATGTTTGATCCGGACATGTAGATCGATGTGTAAGCCGTAGCAAAATAACCTCAGAGAAATAAATAGTTCTTTGTTTACATAATATCTCCTTTCCGTTTTAATTATGACACAATAAATACATATAACGGTAACCTTCATTCATCCCTTTACATTATTTCACAACAATGATAGATCTGACTAAAGTAAGATTTTGTACGTTTCCATATGTGTACATAAATCAAAATCGTTTCCAAAAAATCTCATATGAATTTCTTAATTTGCTTAATTATCTTACATCTAATTATTGGCTTTATGATATTACTATTTTCGGCATTCTCATACTATTATTAAATTTCAAGTATAAAAATATCTTTTGCAAGTCTTTTTAGTTGCTTTAATTTCGGGGCTAGTTACACTATGGGACTCCTAGCTGGGTCGCACAGTATTCGGATTAACATTGTGAACATTGTGGTTACGGATTTGATTGATCCAGGTAACCATATGAGGTATCAGAACCTTAAATTTAGGTAATTGTTTACCTAATCATAATCCATTAAAAAAATACTTTTTGAAGCAGTTTCCATAAGAGTAATTGATATTATTGAAATGAGAGACTATAGAATAAAAGAATTAGATACGGTATACGTACGAGAAAAATTTAGTTAGCTTAATAAGAGCCTATCGATATCCCTAAATAATAGGAAAAAAGAATAAAATTAAGAAATAGCCTTACATACGTTGCACAATATTGGGCACTTATATAGAGGTGTGACTGCATAGGGTGTGATTATAGAGAGGTCTGACTGTATATGCATTTGAGAATTTTTTCCAGGTGATGTAAAAACAAATGGACTTCACTGTATACAGAAAGGTTTCTTATATCGAGAGTTGTATTTTTGATTTTATAGTTTTAATAGATTTTAAAACTTGCAAAAGAAATCAAATTGATAAAGATAATTTTATTTTACGAATGTCTCATCAAACATGTTGGACAAATGTTTAAATGAAAATTTAGTGTTCCGATATCATAGTGATAGAATTATCCATATTACAAGTATTGCGTGCAATATAGTTTTTGTATACCGATCATGCCGAAATCATTAATTAATTTAACCAAATTGCAGTTACAGAAATTATGATAACAGCTGTAACATACTGTATCAAAACACATTTGGGCCATTTGCTAGGAAAATCATTGGTACTTGATTTCAAACGGTGATTTTCCTAGCAAATGACCCTTTGATTAGATAACCCGGATCATTCCGAACAAAATAAACTAGATTACATTTTCGAGCCGGGCACTTTCTACTTAAGGGCCTCATATAATGTGTTTTTTTTTCTTAATAATTAAGCCAGTGTTGTTGATTGGAAGTCATAGAACTTCAATAGAGCTACACTGGAAGAAAATTAATAATGCCACTAGAGCTTTTACCAATGCAAATTCTTATCGGAAAATTAAAAACTTTTACTGGAAACAAATTTAATACGTATTAGAAGTATTGATCAAAAATCTGCGACGATATGATAATCAAATTGATTAACGTTAATGCAACGATACGTATAAAAGTTAGTATGTTACCATTTAAAGCTATACGTAGAATAGTTTGTAATGATAAACTATATATATATACATATATTAATTATTATCTGATCAATCTGGCCACATGCAGTTATTCTATTGAACGAATTAATTTGATAATTTAATAATTTTAGTTATATATTACCATTTTTTACCTTAACTTTTTTTTTATTTTTATTTATTAATATTATTATTATTATTATTTTACAATTTAGCAATTATTAGCCAAAACTATTAATCTACTAAGCAGATTGTTATTTTTATTTACGGTAAGTAATTTACGGCTAATATCGAAAATTTGGGATGATTTTTCTGTGAAACAAAATTAATGATTGAATTGGTTAATATATTTGGAAAGTTCTATGGTACTGTACTACGTAGCAAAATAACCTCAGAGAAATAAATAGTTCTTTGTATACATAATATCTCCTTTCCGTTTTAATTATGACACAATGAATACGTATAACGGTAACCTTCATTCATCCCTTTACATTATTTGAGAATTTTCGCTCTAAAATGTGTGTTTGTGCATGTAACATGTATGCTACCATGCTGCTGACTAGTGCTCCGAAAGGGGTCAAGTAAACCGGGTAATCGACCCCAGAACATAAAACTCGAAAATTCATCGCATGACCCCAAGTGA